TTAGCAGTACTGTAGAATTGACAAATCGAATCATATGATATAGAATTCTTAATTTACTATATACGAAAGTTCCTCATGTTTCACATTCTAATTCTGTAGGAATTGTACTAACAGATTTTGTCTTCAATTTGAAAGAGAAAACTAGTTATTTCATTTACTTTAAATATAAAACTTCATATTTAGCTACTACGACAACAACGTCCACAGCAGCACAATGTTATTTGTATACAACCATGAATGATGTAACACGTCTGGCAACAGCCGGAAGTGGATCTACAACCGATTCTGGTTTGTTTTCAACCAGCAATTGGATTCGTTTCTCTGGTGCAGGTGGCACTCAAATAACAACATCATCACCGGGTCTATATCATTGTACTACATATTATTCTGGTTGGTACTCGAGCTCACTACCTTCGTCTGGTGAAACGGTTAATGGCACAGTATGTTATACATATAGTTCATCTTCATGTTATTATGCCAGTATAATATCGGTAACAAATTGTGGTTCCTTTTATGTCTATAATCTTGTTAATCCACCCATTTCCCTTATGCGTTATTGTACTGTTTAAGTAAAATAAACAGAATCATTATTATCTTTTTTGTGTCATTTGATTTTCTTCTTTCGAGGGTGTTGGTGTGGACAAGAGATGGATATGTTGTACACGGTATTCTTCACTAATTTGAAAAATATTTTATCTGATGTAATAACTAGAAGTCAATAAAGTTTGATTTTTGAAAGAACTTATTATTATATTAAGACTTTATTCATTTGTTTTCTTTTATCATAAAAATCAAGATACATAACAATTACTGACATACACACACGAAATATATGTTGGTAGATTTTTTCTTCTCCTAAAATCACACTCACACCCTCAAATTTAAGAGAATGCGATTCTTTTGCATATTTATTTTTTCACATTTTTTCTTGAATTAACAGGTATTGGTTTGATTCAAACGTTGATCTAGGCAACACGAGTGATCTGCTACATCATGTATTAAAAGCTTAAGTTTCCTGTCTTCATGATTACTGTTACCTCAGAAAATACAAAATACCGAAATCTTTCAAACTTCATCGCATCGCAATATATTTATTTGAGAATAGTTAGAGACTTTACAATAGGAAAATATCTAACTTAGAACGACTAGATTCAAAATAATGTTTCTGGGGTAACAGTAAACTGTAAAGAATAAAATCGTTTTTTAGCAATCGATAAAGCTTTGAATTCTCTATCGAATCACAAATTCTGTTATTATGTTTGGAGAATTTTCTTTGTCGGGAACTGCGAGATACCGAACAGCTCAGAAACCTATTTTGCCACGAAAAAATCGTTTTAACTGTAACAAATCTATAAAGATGAAGAGAACTTGCGCTTTTAATACATCGTGTAGTAGGTCTGTCATACTAATTAGATCAATGTTTAAATCAAACCAATACCTGCTAATATAAGAAAAAATCGCAGTCACTGAAACTTTTTTCGTAGACTGAACTATACCTAGTATTAAATTATTATTAAAATTATAATAACAGGTATATCAACTATAACTGCACATAATTTATATAGTAATATCAGTGCAGAAAACATTGATAATCTTATTAACACATTTTTTCACTCTTTACTCTATTAAAATTTGATCATTGGTATTTGATATATCAAGTAAGTTCTAAACGTAGTTATTCAAATTTTCGACCTGATTTTTTGTCTATTGTACTTAATCTTGTTATAGCAGCTTTAGGTAAGATGAATATTTTAGATAAATTAATAATTATAATAATATTTAGTAGATAGTTTTGACAAACATGAACAATTGATTAGATTAGAACAAAAAAATAATTAAACTCACACTAATTAATCAAAAATTCCTGAAGTGATGTTGAAGAAATGATCAAGTTTGAAATGTATAATCCGAAATCTACTATCTTACTGACTTTTCTTTCTTGCAACATAAGATTACGCTACGTGAATTGTTATACTGAGATGCATATAAATCATTTAGTAAAGTGAAGTTGTTCACAGCATCAACTTTTACGAAACTTATATATAAAGTATTATACTTTACATCTTCAGAAGCAAATGGAAACATTTTTGAAATAGAATTTTAGAGATCAAAAGTCGATATATGCCTTATCGACATGTAAGAAATGATATCTAAAAAATAGAATTTCTATCAAATATAATCGTTTTTTAGTTGTTCTATGTAGACTGGTAAGTAGTTGTCTTTAATCGAATAAACTAAGACAAAAAAAAAGAAACATGTCACCTACGAAATCATTTCATCAGTTACTTTTACGAATCTTTCTTTATTATGCAGTCATCAAAATAAATATGATTTTCCACGGTTGAGAACAATCTGTAAACTCCGCTTTTTGGTATTTTCATATAGACAAATCTACTATTAATTATATTAAAATATTCGTTAAGTGTAGAATCAGATTGTATAAATCATATTCGCTTAAGGCAGTACCAAACGAATATATTTTCTGATCAATTTGTTAGAAACGTTTTTTAATAAATTCTTTCGTTTCAAAACATTGTGATCAACGAATATTTTCGAAGATGATATAAAGGAGTCTTCTCATGTAACAGGCAATGCTGGAGAACGAACAGACACGAACTACTCAGTGGTATATAGATTACAAACGAATTTTTGGTTTTTGTGTTTGAGAACTCAAGAATTGCTGCATTTCTTCATTGTGTTGAAATCAAGAGTATAGCATACGATTAATAAATACCATATTTTTGTCGATTTATATAGCTATTCTGAACTTCACCAACTATTCCTACTATTTTTATTTTCGAACTTCACTATAAAACTACACGATTTTATAATGCATATCGCTACCGGTTAAAAGCCATTACATGCAGAAACTATAAATACAGATTAACGAGTTGAAATTCTTTCTCAAAGCTACAATCATCAAATTAAACTCAAACGTAGCTATTATATATTAATTTTCGCACGATGTACTTTTCCAATTGGCAAGGAATCCCGATTACTACAACAAAGTGCTATTAAAAAACTACTCTTTTATCTCTTCCTTACAAATTTTCACTTGTTTAGATATTAACAAAACGCTCTGTAAAATAATGTGTTTATTTTTGCAATGACACACAATAAATATCATAAGATTCAATCTATCATATGGTTGCACTAGTCTCGAGTCTTCATCTTCTGCAGTCTACCTGCACTGGCAGATATGATCAGCATAAGAACCGAAAGTAGGAATAATATAATAAATGCAACTGGCACTATCACGACGGATCCAACTTGCCTTATTACTGTCACGATACCAATCAGTACATTTACCACATTGTGTACAAGCTCGACCGTCACAAAGAAGTTGCTTTTGAGGAAATATTTCAGTTTCGTGTGGGCTTTCTACATGAAAAGATGTGATATTTATTAAGACTTAAAAAACACAACAAGATGGCTCACTACTTTACTTCGAAACAACATATTTTATTTATAAATTCTTTTATATTTGAGTAACTGTGTTAGTATGAAAGCGAGATCAAACTATACGATTTTAGCTGATAGAAATGAAAAAATCCATCGGAGTCATTTGAGAGATATCATCAGTCGTTTTGCTAGTGAAGGAAAAGAATCTCATACTCCTTTCTGTTTGGACTAACTCAAGTAAAACCTGAAGCAATTAAATGTTCACTTGTGTAATGTTAACTTAACCCTTACCTTAGATCTTCTCTCATTACCTAAAACAATCTCATCCATCTACGACTTTGATCTGTTTCTCTTAGGAGAGCTAATTAACACAATCGACCAATAAGATCAAATGGATAGTGTTTTATAGTTGATATAAAAACAGAATAATTTATAAAATACTTAAATAGGCAAATAGAAAATAAACAACATTGAATTGAGCAGTGAAGTTGGAAAGACCAAAAATATATCAATAGATACAATTCGTCTACTTATTATTCTAATAATAGACATTATCAATTTATATGTGACAAACATTTTGATAGGAATGAAACTAATCGATCTAAACCTTATTCGCTATTTCGATCAGTCATAGATTTAGCGATGTTTAGTATATATACTGCGCAAGTTATTCTTGTTCTCTTCTGCTCAATATGCAAAAAATTATTGAAGAAAAAAAAATTTCAGACATGTGTATATGATTCTTAGTCATTATCTAATTCATATTTTAGATGATCAATTAAAATATATTGGCAAATTCATTATCACCTCATGAACTATGATCTATATTCTCTGCATCTCGAATCAATGTTTTTTGAAAAGTATCATACTAAAAATATATTCAAATTGGACGTCATAAACATACTTTTTCGCTTTTTTGATGTTTGTTGGCGTTCGACTTCTACAGCTTTTTCTTGAACGTAGATAATACGATCCCAGTTTATTTTTTCGCTTTCTTCTTTATTAATTTCAGTTAAAGTTCCTTGGAAAAGCGGAGCCAAGTCCTCATTGAATTGATCAATCTTTTGTTTAAGTCTTGTTAAATCATGTTCAACATAGTCCTCCGTTTCTTTCAAATGAGATAATTCTTTAAAGAAGCCTTTGAATTCATTTGTAATTTCCATAGATTTTGAATTCATTAGCTGATTAGCTTGCTGACGTACATATTCAGCTGTTTGTCGCACTTTTTCAATTGTCATCTTCTCCCATGCATTGATTGCTTCAAAAACTGGATTGTTAGCGTTGTTTTCTTTTGTTGCTTTGTTAATTTTCTCTTGTAGTTTATTATGCTCTTCAACGAGTTCCTCCATCTCAGTAGATAATATTTCACGATGACTTCTGAAATCCTTTGCGCAGAAGTAACCATCACAACCAGTGCAATGCATCTTTCCTATTGGTTTTTTACAAGTGAAACATTGGTTTGATTTTGCCATTTCTATGAGTATACTACAATAAAATGTCATTTATGGACATTGGTCAAAGTAGAGAATCTGCTTACCTTATGTATTATAATTGTGAAAGAGATGTGGCCGATACCGACGTTTTGAAATATATATAAAATAAAAAGATTCTAGATCTAGAATTGTCAACGCAAAGATAAGATATAAGGACTTATTTTTTATCAGTATTAACAATAGAAAAATTGTAAAATAATATCATCAGAAAACATATTTTAATCTAATTTTGGGTGGGTGTGGGTAAAAAAAAGATGAAGCCACACCACACTCACACCGTAATTTTTTTTCTCCACTTTTTATGAGTAAAAGAACGAAAAATGAATTTATATTTCGATCAACCAAGCAACAGTAAAAACCAACATAAAATCATTTGATCGTTCGCAACACTTACTAAAGAACAGAGACATGCATTTCATTTTACTGTTGATAAAAAAATGCAGACGAAAGATTTTTGTAAAATGATGTTGAAATATAATAGATAGAAATAAAAAATATTATATTACAAAAATGTTGTGACTTCGACTTATGGGAAGAGAATCACTCACAAAAAATTTCTAACTAACTTCACAATGATCATTATTTGGCCAATACAAAATAAAACAAAGCTATGTACTTTTAAATCTGATAGTTGGACAAGAGAAATCATCTACATAAAAAGTTTTTATGATAGTAACCATGACGAATAAAAGCGATTGAATAAATTAAAATGTTCGGAAGCAGACTGGTACTATATTTTAAGGATTTTATCCTACATTCGTCAAGCTAAAAGGAAAGTTGATAGTTTCATAATAATTTTTACATCTGGAGCATTTTGTGATGAAATATTTTTGATAATCGATATAGGGTATAGCAAAACATGAAAGTAAAAGCATCCGATACTTGTACAATTATTGAAAGTGTTATTGAGAGACAAAAAGGACAAGTGCACAAACATACCATATAACCAGGAGACAATTGTTTATATTATAAAGTCATTCTTGCTTCAGTCGGTTACTATCGTTCACTATCAGGCTTCTAATTATATCATTTACTAATGAAAATATTACATCATATTGTTAAAATGTATGCTATTATAGTTGATAGATTTAGGAGAAAATGATAAGAACATAGATTAATTGAATTTATTGGTCAATAAGTTCTTAAACTAGATAATATGTAAGATATATCATCAGAGATTTCCTTATCAATTTTCATGAATGAATCTATATTATAATGAAATGATGATTATTATTTGAAATAGAATCGATTAGTTCGTCGATTCAAAACTATGTATTAGGATGTAAATTGAATTCAGATGTACGATTAATCTTTCTAATGTTTTTTTATGTCTAAATAGATATCATCAGTTGATCTAAAATTAGAAAAAAGCATTCAATAAAACTTTTCTTTATATTTTATTTAATTATTTCTATGAAAAAATAATTTGATCAATTTCTTCTAAAACTTTATCATTTCCAACAAGTTCTGTATGACTGATTCGATTAAATCCTTTTGAAATGAATTTATATTTTTTATCCATTGTTTTATTCCATAATTGACATGACATATTTGTTGTATCATCTTGTTCTCCATCACCCCATCCACGAATAGTTTCTAATTTATTATCTTCAAATCGATCTGATTTTGATATATAACCTATTGGTGTTGAAATATTTACTCCATAAAAACAATATGTATTAACATTTGGTTCTGGTAATGATGCTAAAATTGATGATGCTTGAGAATAAATAAGAGAAAGTTCTTTAGCATTTATATCATGTAAAAAATCTAACATATCATATGATGTATAATTTCGTGAAGGTGTTTTTACAATAATTCGTTCTGATCCATATATCATTGGTTCAGGTAGACGCCAAGCAAAAAAA